ATATGACTTACATATATGATGTATACATATATATGACTTTTATTTATATAAGAATTTATATAAAGTCCTAGTTATTTGTTATGCTATATTTACTATATAGTAAATACTATACTATATACTGTATTTGGCATATGATTGGTACATACCGTCTACCTTAAAGCATAGTCATGACAAAATTTATTCCTATGATCATTGTTTTTATGACTACGCCTGTGCATTCTTGAATCCACTTTCCAGATTCCACAAGATACTCTAATATCAAAGACATGTGAAGTAATCTTATGGCTGATAGTCTCTGTACAGCCAAATTTGAGTTATGACCAAAACAACCTCTTTTGGCTAAGGACAGGATCCAAAACCTTTCTGTTCTAATCACAGATTCTGACATTTCCCCATTACTGTCTGAGCTTCTTCTGAGCAAAATCATCCAAGAGCACAAAGTGAATTTTGCTGTCAAAAGGCCAGAATTACAAAACAGCACTGACAGCATTTTAGGCATAAATCTGCTGACTTGATTAGAGGCAGGGATTAATAACTGGGCCAACTTTTTGTTGAGTTGCACAGCTTAGTATTCAGTAGATACCCAGTTGTATTGACCTAGTTTTGCCATAGCACTGGCCTTCAACTTTATGGTGCAAGCTGCCTCTCACACATAGAAATACTCAGTTTCATTCTGAACAGAGCTCTAATTTCTTACCAGTGGAGCATGCAGATATATTTGTTTGGCTTTACTGCCTCTTTGTCCTCAATACCTAGGTGAATAATACTGGCAGTAGCTCAGCTCTCTCAAAGTATTTTCAGTCTGTTGGACTCAACATGACAAGTGTCACCATTTCATTTTGTGGATGAGGAAACTGAATCTGATAGAACAAATGACTTGCCAAGATAACTTGGAAATTGTGGACTAAGTGGGGAAGGACTCTACACTCCCAGCTAACTGTCCTAGTTCCATTCCAGCCCCCAGGACACCCTTTTTAATTAAAAATCTATTCATACTTCTTAGATTTGGATTGCATTCTAATCTGTGCACAGTTAAGGAGGTAATAAAAGTGTTGCTACAAGGCACATCAACAGCAATGATGCAAAAAAGAAAAAATCCCCCTTTTTTATTTGGTTGGTAGAAAATTTTTTGAAGAATATGCAAAGTCAAGACACTATGTCATCTTCTCACACCTGTATCTTTTTATACTTGTTTTCTCACTGTATAATGTTAAGAAGACATAAAATGAAGGCCCACTTGAATTTGGAAGAACACTTGCAATCTCCTTTTAAAAATATCAAAAATTTGCTTTTGTTTTGTCTTTCAAAAATATTAAGCCTAGAGATCAGGAAGTCAAGATCTTATTTAAAGATCACAATCAAAATGGAGATACTGTTTGAGCATTAGCATTAGACAAAACTGAAGAAACCCCTACTGCTTTTGGAATTATCTTGTAAAGATAAAGTTGCCATATATATATAAAAGCTGTTCAACTTAACAACATCAGGCGCTCCTCAGTGCATCACTATTCTCTCTCTTTCCTTTTTCCTTTTATTTTTAAACAAAACAGAAATGAAAAAACAATTGGTATTCTATCAAAACATGATATAGTACACAGGAAGTATTGGATAATTTACAGAAAGCATTCCAGAGCATGGCTCTTCTGGTCTTGTATGTGTGAGTGTTTGTACTTGTCCCTTTTCTGCTACATTTTATTTGTAATAAGTAAAAATTAGAATATTATTTTTCTCTGTGAGGAATCACTCACTATACTTTTTTTCTGAGGGGTAAATTGTTAGACGGATTAAAAATTGGGCAAGTATGAATAAACATTGTGTCTATATACATTAATATACTTGTGTGCTTGGGTGTCCAAGAGAGAGACAAATCTGAGTGACAGAATCATAGAATAATTGAATCCTCAGAGTTGGAAGGGATCATTAAAGGCCATCTAGTCTAACTCCCCTGAAATGAACAGGGACATGCACAGCTAGATCAGGTTCTCCAGGGCCTGATCCAGCCTCACCTTGAAAGTCTCCAGGGAAAGAGCATGCACCACATCTCTGGGCAGCTTATTCCAGTGCCTCACCACCCTCACTGTAGAGTACTTTTTCTTCTTATCCAACCTAAATCTACCCTCTTTAAGTTTGAAGCCGTTTGTCACCACAAACTCTGCTAAAGAGTCTATCCCCTTCTTTTCTGTAGCTCCCCTTTAAGTATCAAAAGGCTGCTATCAAGTCACCTAAAAGCCTTGTCTTCTCCAGGCTGAACAGGCTCAGCTCTCTCCGCCTGCCTTCATAGGAGAGCTGTTCCAACCCTTGGATCATTTCTGTGTCTCTCTTTTAAATGCAGTCCAGCAGGTCTATATCTCTCCTGCATTGAATACTCCACATTTGGATGCATTACTCCAGATGAGGTCTCACAGCACAGAGCCGAGGGGCAGGATCACACCCTGGCCCTGCTGGCCACACTGCTTTTGATGCAGCCCAGGGTACAGTTGGCTTTCTGGGCTGTGAGGGCACAGTGCTGGCCCGTGTTCAGTTCCTCATCCACCAGTACCCTCAGGTCTTCCTCTGCAGGGCTACACTCAGTCCTTTCATCCCCCAGCTTATATTGGTAGTAAGGGCTGCCTCGACCCAGATGCAAGATCTTGCATTTAGATTTGTTGAATCTCATGAGATTCACCTGGGCCCACTGCTAAAGCCTGTTTTGGCCCCACTGGATGGCATCCCATCTATCTGATGTGTTGACTGTACACCACAGTTTGGTGTCATCAGCAAACGTGCTGAGGGTGCACTTGGCCCCACTGTCATTGTCTCTGATGAAGATGTTAAAGGTCTCAGCATTGATCCCTGGGGGACAGCACTCATCACTGCTCTCCATTCAGGCATTGACCACCACACTCTAGACTAGATGCTGCAGCCAATTCTTTATCTATTGAACAGTCCACCCATCAAATCCATATCTTTCCAATTTGGAGCGAAGGATGTCATGGAGTACCAGTGTTGCATCTCACCTGGTGGGGCCATCTATTACTTGACTCAGGAAATTACCCTCAGTGCATTCCAGGAGCCTCTTTGATTGCTTATAGCTCACCATGCTACTTTTCCAGCAGATGTCTGGGTGGTTGAAGTCCCCCAGAAGGACAAGAACTTGTGGTCATGGTGCCTCCTTTAGCTGGAGGTAGAAGGCCTCATCAACAGGCTCCACTTGATTGGGATAGCCTGCAGTAGGCACAAACCACAAGGCTCCCTTTGCTGCCTCAATCTCTAACTGTCACCCATAGGCTTTTGGCTTACTCATGACTATTCTTTAGGGACAGCTCTTCACATTCTATTCCTTTCCTGATGTAGATAGCAACATCCCCTCCTGTCCTTCCTCACCTGTCCCTTCTGAATAGCTGGTCACCATCGCTAGCCATACTCCAGGTTTCAGGGACAGCAACTATACTGTGGTTTTCTAGTAGCACATTAGCTTCCAGCTCCTCCTGTTTGTTTCCCAAGCTGCATGCATTCATGCAGAGGCACTTCAGTGAGGCAGTTGTTTTTGTTAAGCCCTTGAATGTTAGCTCCTTAACTTCTTTTAAGTTATTTCCTTTGATTTTCCCCATTACCTTTTCCTATTGCCCCCACAGTCACTGTCTCATCATCACACGATTTTGTATGTGCTGCAGTGTTGCCAGCACCTCTCAAGGCAGCAGGTCCTTCACGGCTTCTGCTAGCACCCTATCCTTCTAATCTTGTGATGCTATCCCACACCTTATCATAGGAAGGCTCACTATCCCCCTTCCTCCTTCACATCTTGTTTAAAGCTCTCCTTAATGAGCCCTGCTAGCTTTTCCCCAAGGACTCTTCTCCCACTTTGAGAAAGGCAAAACCCACCCGGTGTCTATGAACTAGTTGCCATGTAGGCCATTTTGTTGTCAGAAAAAGCAAAGTTGTAGTGATGGCACCAGCCACAAAGCCAGGTAATTAAAGATAAAATCCTTTTATTTGTTTCCGTGTCCTTAACCAATACAGGAGGCAGAGAAGAAAAGATGATCTGTGCATGCAATTCCTTTAGCCATTCACCAGAGGCTCTGAAGTCCCTTTTGACAGCCCTTGACCCATAAGTAGCTGCTTTTTCTTTCTGTATATGGAAAAGCAGTAAGGGGTTGTGGTCTGACAGCCATACAAGGCTAGGTATTTTTCTGGAGATATCCCTTACCTGAGCCCCAGCTACAGGGCCTGATCCCCAAGTTGTGCTACATGGAGAATGGGAGAGCTGGGATACATGGGGCACTTTTTCATGAATACACTACATTGAATGCTTAGGAGAGTTCTCTCCTTCCTCTGGAACTGAAATTTGCTGAAAACAAAATGCGTATTATTATATTAACACCCTTTTATCATAGTATCAGTTTACAAATGTAAAGTGTTGAATAAGATCTTGCTATTATTTACAGATTTCCATTATAATCAACAGTTTTTTAAACCAGTAACAGAAAAGCAGATATCCTTCTGTCTGCTTCAGTGATAAACCTTCTGTGCAATTTTATGATTGCAAGTTCCTGATAATATCACAGCAGAGTTTTTTGTGAGATTTACTTCTACTGCTAACTTCATTTGATCCAAATCTGCCAAGTTTAAAACAACTTCACTACTTTGTTTAGATGTTTGATTTTTTTGCTAATTCATTTAGAACTTCAAAGAAAAAAAAAGGTATCTTGTAAAGTTTGATTGATACGTAGCATTGCTAGAAAGGAGGCTGTAAAAAATCTTTAGTGTTTTGGCTTTATTTTTAACGAATCCCTCATTTAACTTAATGAGGATTACTTCAGTCAGATGGCATTAACAAAGAAGTTTTGATTCAACCATGAGGAGAAAAAAAAGGCTGCTTCTTAGTTGTCATTCTCCAATTAACAGATTTATCAAATTTATAGTTTCTTTAGGCATTAGCAGGCCATTGTTCCTTTAGCAAAATGTAGTATGTCTTTGAATACCTTTGAATGGATAAACATTACCATTTTGTTTCTCTACAGAGAGCCTCGAAAAATCATCCTCCACAAGGGGTCCACTGGACTTGGCTTTAACATTGTGGGAGGAGAAGATGGGGAAGGCATTTTCGTGTCTTTCATCTTAGCAGGCGGGCCTGCTGATCTCAGTGGAGAACTGCAGAGAGGAGATCAGATTTTGTCTGTAAGTATTTGTTTTGGGCTTTATTGACTGATTGCCTAATCTTATTTTTTTGTCTTTGCTGCAAGAAAGAAACAACAAAGAAAGCTTCGTGAAGCCTTTATGGTTTCCAGTATCTGATATCCACGTTGAAAACAGTTCATCACTGAATATTCTGCTTATTAATATTCTGCTTATTCGCTCTATTTTTTTTTTCCACCATTTGTTTTTCATGATGTTAGCTGTTCCCACATCATAGCGAGACTTTTCTCTTCTTACTATTACTTATAGTATACAACCTTAATGAGGACGTAAGTGCAGTGCAGAGCTCAGCACCTCCTGGTTTAACCCATTATCCAGTTCTATATTGCCCAAAATGCACTACTGAGTCAGAAAATATTTTCTAATTTTAGCATTTCTTTGATCAGAAGTAGTTGCATGAAATCACTCAAGCAGGGAGTGCCATCTAGTGTGCACTAAACTACTTAGCAACTACCAGTACCAGGAGATTAATTAGTTTATAATTATCTCTCAGCCTCTTATGAATCTGATGATTGCTCTGAAATTTATTTTCAAATTTTATAGGATAAAAGGCTTTGTAGCCTTAGGTTATATTTTGCATATTTGGTCCCAAAAGCAAACTTCAATTTTTTTCTTCAAGTATTTGTTAATTTCGTGCAGTTCAGAAACAGAGCATTTTTGTATCAGACTTTGTCAAGTAAATGAATATCTGAGTGAAACAACTGAACATAAAGGACTTTGAATGGCAATAAAATCCTTGAGAATACATTTAAGTAAAGCATCCATTCACATTATATTGCCTTACACAAAGGGAAAAAGAAAAAAAAAATCTATACTAAATTGATAAAATCGGAGCTGTTTCATTTGAATTACATGAATAGCCTTAAGGAGAAGAACTGAAACCCAGGAATTATTCATCCCAGAGGAGAGACTGATCCACCAGGCTGCAGTGTCTCGCTCATTCCCATTGCTGTACTTTCTGTCCCTGTGCATCTTGCATCCTTAGTTGCACTTGGGTTAGTGTCAGGGAAAGAAGATGGCTGCAGGCCGGATGGGTTGTGACATAACTATGTGTCAGTTTCCTGGTCAGTTCATGAAGCAGTTGGAACTGACTTTCCTACATTCCTTGGGTATGTCTTATGTGAATAGTGAAATTTAACTTCCACTTAGTGTTCCAGTATGAAAAAGTGTCTGGTGCCACTTCTTGATATACAGAAAATCTGATCAGTTAATGACAAAGGGATACAGTAATCTAAAGTTATATATTTTATCTAGACTTGTTCCTTGAAGTAGAAATTGTACAATGCCATAAAGAAATCCTAAAGTAGAAGATTTGTAACTACAAGAAAACTAAGATAGTCTTATAAAATTACCATTATGGAAAGCTAAGGAAGACAAATGCCTGTGCCAACAAGAACATACGCAAGGGATCCAAGAAAGGGAAATTTCTTCAGGACAATCATACAATTTATTTTTTCTTTAGCTAGGTGCAGCACAAGAAAGCTGAATAAAAAGTACTATGAGATCAGAGCCTTTCGCAGTATATTCAGAAGCTCATATAAAATTTAGAAAACCATTTTATTTTATATTTCTGCAGGAGTATATTTAGCACTGTGGGATACTGCCTAAGTTGAATTTTTAATTCCAATTGGTCTGTTTTGCAGCAGTGTTTTCCCTAAGTTCTAATTAAACCTACCAGTGTTGCCACAGCATTTACTTGTCATGCAAGAGTAGTTTATTTGTTCATTGAGCAGAGAGGGATGGAAATTATTACCAAATTAGAGTGCATGCATATCCCCAGGCAATCACCAAGTCAGGCACTGCTGACTTATTTAGTCACAAATAAGTATTATGAATCCATTTTTTCCATGCTCAAACAAAACAAATTTCATGCACAGGCCAATCTAAGAGTGATAAATCTTAGACCACTGTCTGGTAAAGGGTGCCAGATCCCTTAATTTTATAATGGATGCACAGAATAGGTCTGATTCTCTCTGTTTATTTTTGCTTGTCTTATCCTTCAGAAACGTTTATTTCCTTGCTGAAGTAGTTTACCCATTGTTTCTCAAAACATGACAAATCTGATTTACCACAGACCAATAGTACTTGCCAAGCTAATATTTTGAATTAATACTGGCTTGGTTAAATTTCTCTCAGACAGGAAGCAGAATAAATGATTTAAACTTTGGAGACCTAGATTTAATTCCTGATTCTGTTTGTCTCATTATTTGTGGCCTTGGGCAAGGTGCTTTAGTTTTCAAAACGTCCAGTGTAGAAGAAGAGAATCACAGCATCTTCCTAATTCATTCCTGTGCTGTTGGCATGGCAAAATGCTGACTAGTTGAGAAATGTCTCTATTCACCTTTGGGAAGATGCCTATATATATACCTTAAATAGAACGGAAATCCATTAGTTAGACCCACAAAGCAGCAAATATGCACTGTCTTTGGGTGACCCTCTGGGTGCATACATTAGCCCCATAGTCAGGCTGCAAGGCCCAGACAATATCCATGACCTTTCTGCCTCACTTTTCTACCTTCTCACTTTATGTGACATTGTGCAACACCCTCCAAGAGGAACTATGAAAGATTGTGCTGAGGTTTTGACCCCCTGGAAACGTAGAAAATTGAGTTTATATTTCTCAAATGGCACATTTTTCCCAGTGCCACCAGGTGGCATCATAGGATAAGTAATGGTGGAGATTTACTCAATGAAACGCTAAAACCTTAGGAAAAGCAGTGATAGATTTTTTTGTTTTCAGTCAATTGACAGGAAATGTTTAACTTAACTCAGAAAGAAGGCTGATAATACAAGTGCTTATTTGCAGGGAAACAAATTGAATCATATATAAACCTTGAAGGCAAATGGAAGAATAATAGAAAATGTTCTTTCAAATGGCAAAAACATTTCAAAAATTGATTTATATTGTTACATTTATGAAAAGTGATTTTTTTTCGCCATAAAAAGAGACTTTTTAATGCTGATTTCTTCCTGCTATAATTCATTATACTCTTGTGAGTTATCTCCAAATTAAACATTATCCTTTTCACTTCTGAATGTCTTTAAAACATAATAATGCACACATCAGCATTGTATGTTCATCAGTACAACACAGTGTTCCTCTCTCTGATGTTCCCCTGCTATTAAGTATATGGTAAATAGTACTGAATAACATTTTGATTACCCAGTGACATCAAGGCTTTGTTAGGGTGCTGTGCACACATTAACTTTTCAATCAGATGTGTATAACCCCTGGAAAACATTTCTAAATACCAGTGGGACTATTAACTCCATTTTATGGCAGTGGAAATGAGCCACCATTATGTTAATAGATTTGTTTAAAGCCAGGCAAGGAGTCTGGACCAAGACTAGATTCAGGGGCTGCTTGAACTGTGAACTAACCCCAGGTTCTCCATCTGTTAGGCAAATATGGTCTCTACTGTAAATAACATGGAATGCTCCTTGACACCATTCTTGCAATTTTAAATTCTACTTCCAGTGCTAAAGAACATATTAAAATAGCAATGGGAAATCAGTGCTGTTTACCAAAAGTCATTTGCATGAGCACAATTTCCAAGAACCACAGCAAATGGCCACACATTGCACATATGGCCTGGCTGATAGAAAGCAGTACAAATCTCAGAAAAGAGGTATATAGTGAATGCATAGTTTACAGACACAACTTTAGCAGCAGAATTTTGAGGCTTGATGCACAATTTACAGAGAATAAGTTATAGCATATTGCTCTATGAATTGCTATTCTGGCATTGCTTTTCTGTTTAATGATTTCCTACGAGACTGCACCAAGTCAAAAATGTGTATAAAGGAAAAAGATGAGGTGAAGTAAGAGCTGTAGAGTGGTAATACCAAGTATTAGCACTTGAATCTTAACTTCTGAGATGTCTGAATCTTGTCTCACTGGACAAGACTAGGTCTCAGATTAAGATCCCTGCATTTAGAAGTCCACATTCTTTCTGGATGTCCACTTCCCATTAAAATCATTAAGGGCAAGAGATTGAATCAGATGGCCAGCTAAGAAGTATCTAGAGCAAGTTGAGTTGCTTTTGAGGCCTTATTGTCTGTATTGATTAGGTACCCACTGACTTCATGCTTAAGGACTTATCTCCAGACTCATCTCCAGAAAACTGGAAGAAGAGGAGGTTATCAGGAGTAGTCAGCACGGGTTCACAAGGGGGAGGTCGTGCTTGACCAACCTGGTAGCCTTCTATGATGTTGTCTCTGGCTGGGTGGATAGGGGAAGAGCAGTGGATGTAGTCTACCTTGATTTCAGCAAGGCATTTGATACTGTCCCCCACGACATCCTTATAACAAAGCTGAGGAAGTGTGGGATAGATGAGTGGACAGTGAGGTGGGTTGAGAACTGGCTGACTGGCAGAGCACAGAGGGTCGTTGTTGGTGGTGCAGAGTCTGTTTGGTGACCTGTAACCAGCGGTGTTCCTCAGGGGTCTGTGCTGGGTCTGGTCTTGTTCAACATCTTCATCAATGACCTTGATGAGGGGATAATGGCCACCCTCAGCAAGTTTGCTGATGATACGAAGTTGGGAGGATTGGCTGACACGCCTGAAGGCTGTGTTGCCATTCAGCAAGACCTGGATAGGCTGGAGAGCTGGGCAGAACAAAACCGGATGAGGTTTAACAAAAGCAAGTGTAGAGTCTTGCATCTGGGGAGGAATAATTCCATGCACCAGTACAGGTTGGGGGATGACCTGCTGGAGGGGAGCTCTGCAGAAAGGGACCTGGGTGTCCAGGTGGATGACAGATTGGCCATGAGCCAGCAGTGTGCCCTTGTGGCCAAAAAGGCCAATGGCATCCTGGGGTGCATTAAAAAGAGCGTGTCCAGCAGGTCGAAGGAGGTGATCCTCCCCCTCTACTCTGCCCTGGTAAGGCCTCATCTGGAGTACTGCGTCCAGTTCTGGGCTCCCCAGTACAAAAAAGACAGGGATCTCTTGGAAAGAGTCCAGCGGAGGGCCGCAAAGATGGTG